TCATCGGACAGATCCCCCGCGAAGCAGGCGGATCCACCTGACGGGATCAGCAGACAGATCCCCCCGCGGAGCAGGCGGATCCACCTGACGGGATCAGCGGACAGATCCCCCCGCGGAGCAGGCGGATCCACCTGACGGGGTCAGCGGACAGATCCCCCGCGGAGCAGGCGGATCCACCTGACGGGATCATCGGACAGAACCCCCGCGGAGCAGACGGATCCACCTGATGGGGTTAGCGGACAGATCCCCCGCGGAGGATCCCCCGCGGAGCAGGATCCACCTGACGGGGTCAGCGGATCAGAATACCCCGCGGATCCACCTGATGGGATCAGCGGACAGATGACCCGCGGAGCAGGCGGATCCACCTGACGGGGTCAGCGGACAGATCCCCCGCGGAGCAGGCGGATCCACCTGACGGGATCAGCGGACAGATCCCCCACGGAGCAGGCAGGATCAGCGGACAGATCCCCCGCGGTGGCAGTGCAGGGTCGGGTGGCCGTTTATAAACAGCCTCCCCGCCCCCTGCTTGTGTGCGCTCCTGGGGAGCGCGCAGCACCGCGATCTGGTGCCCGCTGTGTCCTCCGGACACAGTGAAACACCGATCGTCGGACGGGACCTCTGTACGAGGTCCCGATCATGTGATCACTGATTGGCGAATCAGTGATTACATGCAAAGTAGTAAGCAAGATGTCACTTGTGACATCATTGCTTACTACGTGTGAAATCTGTGAATGATCACAGAGATCACATGGTACAGGGCTATTCACAACAGCCTTGTACCATGTGACAAGCTGTGACCAATCACAGCTCACTCAGTACTTCTCAATGAGTGCAAGAATGCAGCCAGAGAGAAGGAGAAATGATTGCTTTTACATCCTATATGGGTGTAAAAGCAATCAGTGTAAAAAAAAAAAAAATCTTCATCACCCCCCCACAAGTAGTACAGTGTCACCATGGTGACACTGTACTGCTAGGGTGACAGTATGTAAAAAAAAAAACAAAAAAAAAAAAAATATATAAAAAAATAAAATATAAAAATGTAAAAAAAATGTTTAAAAATTATCATTTTTGGTTATAAACTAATTTGGATAATTTTTTTTTTTTTCTAAAAAGATAACGGAATAAATTTTGGCCAAGATTTATGATGGGATATTATTTTTTGGAAAATTTTATAAAAAAAAACACTTTTTTTTTTTTTGTTTCAAAATTTTGGGACTTTTCCATTTACATAGCAAAAAAAATAAAAATCCCAGTGGTAAATAAACACCACCAAAATAAAGCTTTATCTGTCTCAAAAAAATGGTAAAAAATTAATTTGGGTACAGTGTTGCATGAACCGCGCAATTGTCATTTAAAGTGTGATAGCGCTGAAAGCTGAAAATTGCCCTGGACAGGAAGGGGGTAAAAGTGTCTGGACTGGAAGGGAGTGAAAGCGTCCGGACTGGAAGGGGGGAGAAAGCGTCCGGACTGGAAGGGGGGGAGAAAGCGTCCGGACTGGAAGGGGGGGGAGAAAGCGTCCGGACTGGAAGGGGGGGGAAAGCGTCCGGACTGGAAGGGGGGGGGAAAGCGTCCGGACTGGAAGGGGGGGGAAAGCGTCCGGACTGGAAGGGGGGGGAAAGCGTCCGGACTGGAAGGGGGGGGAAAGCGTCCGGTCTGGAAGGGGGGGAAAGCGCCCGGACTGGAAGGGGGGAAAGCGCCCGGACTGGAAGGGGGGGAAAGCGCCCGGACTGGAAGGGGGGGGGAAAGCGTCCCGGACTGGAAGGGGGGGGAAAGCGCCCGGTCTGGAAGGGGGGGGAAAGCGCCCGGTCTGGAAGGGGGGGGAAAGCGCCCGGTCTGGAAGGGGGGGGAAAGCGCCCGGTCTGGAAGGGGGGGAAAGCGCCGGAGAAAGTAGCTCTGGAAGGGGGGGGAAAGCGCCCGGTCTGGAAGGGGGGGAAAGCGCCCGGTCTGGAAGGGGAGGGAAAGCGTCCGGACTGGAAGGGGGGGAAAAGCGTCCGGACTGGAAGGGGGGGAAAGCGTCCGGACTGGAAAGGGGGGGAAAGCGTCCGGACTGGAAGGGGGGGGAAAGCGTCCGGACTGGAAGGGGGTTGTGAAAGTGTCCGGACTGGAAGGGGGGGAAAGTGTCCGGACTGGAAGGGGTGAAAGTGTCCGGACTGGAAGGGGGGGAAAGTGTCCGGACTGGAAGGGGGGGAAAGTGTCCGGACTGGAAGGGGGTGAAAGTGTCCGGACTGGAAGGGGGTGAAAGTGTCCGGACTGGAAGGGGGTGAAAGTGTCCGGACTGGAAGGGGTTAAGAACTCCTCTACAGTTGTTTTTATACCTTTCAGCGAAATCAATACAAATAAACATACGAGGTGGTATCAAAATGTTTTAAGACTGGTTTTGTAACACGCCAACAGATGGCAGCATAAGGCTGCACACACTGTCACAGGGAGTAGGGACCTTCATAAGTCAGTGTGCCAAAAGACATTATGTTGTGTACATTGGGAGCTGTGCAACTGGTGTTAGTCTGACCACGTGCTATTGCATCATGGACAGCAAGTTAGAACAAACGGCAAATGTGAAACTCTGCATGAAACTGGGCAAATCTGAGATTTTTTACATGATCTGGCAAATTTACGGCAAGTGGCTGGTGAGTCAGTGTGTGTGTATATACCAGTACATATATCTATATATATATATATATATATATATATATAAAACATTTGTTTAACTGGAAAAAGTATCATTACCCAGGAAAGACTGGCCCAACACAGGTCCTTGGACAGGAGGCCAAAGAACAAGGAAACTATAAAAATTGCTGCTCCATCTGCGTTCTATAACTATCTTTTTGATAAACAAAATGAAAATCCGAAACCAGTATTTGCATATCTCCGCTCATTGGCATCTCATAAAAGTAGATGATGATACGCAGACGAGGATGGCATTTGCATGCCGCACTTGATACTTCCTGCACACCAGAAAAAGGCCGGCTGGGTCTATTTATTTTCTTTAAATTGCGATCTATGAAAGCTTGACATACACCGCTGAGAGATTCATGGGGGAGTGTGTGTGTGTGGGGGGGGGATGTAAAAAAAAGAATTCCATTAAACACGGCATGAAAGGTCCGCACAACACGCCAATGTCATGTCGAGAAAAAAAAAAAAAAAAAAACAACCTTCGGGTAAATGACAACACAGATGTATGGGCAAAATAATTGTAAGCTCTCGGGATCAGGGACCTCCTAAAGACGGCCACACAGGGGGGTGAACTCAGCCAATTTAGCAGGGACGGCTGAACGTTGATCCATCTACGAGGTTCTCACTCGGCAGAAGGCAATGAAAATGTTGGAAAACTTTTGTTGATCAGCAGCCGCTAATCAGTGTATTCTGACAGTGGAGGAGTCCCATACAGTGGCGAGGGGGGGGGGGGGTTGTATTCCTCCATCCACCTTGCCAGTGTGTAATTCTATAGGCAGCTTAAAGTAGAATTCCAGGCTAAACCTAACTCATCTTAAAAATGGCCCCTCCCCCGTCCAGAAAAAAAAAAATAAAATAAAAAAAAAAATGAAATGTTATATATATATATATATATATATTTATTTCAGGTACTTCTATAGCGCCGTCAATTTACGCAGCACTTTACATACATATATTGTACATTTACATCAGACCCTAACTCTCAAGGGGCGTCTACCCTATCCCTCAAGTGTACAATCTAAGGTCCCTATCCCTCAAGGGGCGTACAGTCTAAGGGGCGTACAGTCTAAGGTCCCTATCCCTCAAGGGGCGTACAGTCTAAGGTCCCTATCCCTCAAGGGGTGTACAATCTAAGGTCCCTATCCCTCAAGGGGTGTACAATCTAAGATCCCTAACTCACATTCATACATACACATACTAGGGCCAATTAAGACAGGAGCCAATTAACCTACCAGCATGTCTTTGGAGTGTGGGAGGAAACCGGAACACCCAGAGGAAACGCACACAGTCACAGGGAGAACATGCAAACTCCAGGCAGGTGGTGACATGGCTGGGATTTGAACAAACGACCCTAGTACTGCCAGGTGGAAGTGCTAATCATTTAGCCACTGTGCTGCCCCATATATTATACACACACACACACACAACACCCCCCATTTTCATTTTCAGCCTGCACCGACCTGGTCACGTAATCCCGTGTCAGCCAGTGGCAACTGCAGAGGAGAATAGAGAGTGCTTGACAATGGCTGGTAAAGTCGGGAGCGGTGACGTCACCCCGTAGGCTCCCATGGCCCATTCGTTGTCGACACTCCTCTTAGCCGTCAGTCACTTGGTGGTGGCAGCGGAAGGTTTTACGCATACACAGCACAACCATTGGCTCTCTCTTTGAAACCCCCCCCCCCCCAGAAACAAGAGCTCTCAGTCCTGGTGCAAGCAGTGGGCTGGCTGTTGGGAGGAGTTAAGTAAATATCAAAACACCTTAATGGAAGGGTGCCAGTCCGGAGGAGTGGGTGTTCCTAGGCAGGTTGTATTTGCATGCAGACTTCCCTAAGTAACGCCCACATGTGATGAAGGGATTCAATGACTGGAAAAACTGATATCCAATAAATGAAAGGGGCGGGCCAAGGACAGTCAGGATGAGGAGGAAAGTAATAGATGATGCTGGACGTCCGCCAGCCAGGAATTGAGGCGGAGCTCTAGTTGACTTGCTGCAGCTTCTAATGCATATTGTGAGAAGCTCCCAGTGTGCAGAGACATCAGAGGAAGCCATTTCAGTCCAGAAGAAGAGCCGGTACAACTGTGCAAGACTGGAGGGGAGGAGCCGGTACAACTGTGCAAGACTGGAGGGGAGCCGGTAGTGCAAGACTGGTACAACTGTGCAAGACTGGAGGGGAGGAGCCGGTACAAACTGTGCAAGACTGGAGGGGGGGAGCCGGTACAACTGTGCAAAACAACTGGCAGACTGGAGGGGGGGAGCCGGTACAACTGCCGGTACAACTGTGCAAGACTGGAGGGGTAGGAGCCGGTACAACTGTGCAAGACTGGAGGGGAGGAGCCGGTACAACTGTGCAAGACTGGAGGGGAGGAGCCGGTACAACTGTGCAAGACTGGAGGGCAGGAGCCGGTACAACTGTGCAAGACTGGAGGGGAGGAGCCTGGACTACCGGTACACCTGTGCAAGACTGGAGGGCAGAGCCGCTACAACTGTGCAAGACTGCAGAGGAGGAGCCGGTACACCTGTGCAAGACTGAAGGGGAGGAGCCGGTACACCTGTGCAAGACTGGAGGGGAGGAGCCGGTACACCTGTGCAAGACTGGAGGGGAGGAGCCGGGTACAACTGTGCAAGAGTGGAGGGGAGGAGTCGGTACAACTGTGCAAGACTGGAGGGGAGGAGTCGGTACAACTATGCAAGACTGGAGGGGAGGAGTCGGTACAACTGTGCAAGACTGAAGGGGAGGAGTCGGTACAACTGTGCAAGACTGAAGGGGAGGAGATCGGTACAACTGTGCAAGACTGGAGGGAGGGCCGAGTCGGTACAACTGTGCAAGACTGGAGGGGAGGAGTCGGTACAACTGTGCAAGACTGAAGGGGGAGGAGTCGGTACAACTGTGCAAGACTGAAGGGAGGGCCGAAGGTCATTTTGTTACTAACTAACCAATATATGGTCTTGTGCAGGAATCAGAGCAAGCCGTCATCAACAGGATGAGGACCCGGTACAAGTCAGGAAATGAGGGGGCCTCTGCCTGTGCAAGACTTGCTGCAGGTAGTCTAATACACATTGTGAGACGCTTGCAGTGTGCAGTGAAATCAGAGCAAGACTATCAGTACAGGAGAAGAACCGGTACAAACTGTGCAGAGACTGAAGGGGAGGAGCCGGTACACCTGTGCAAGACTAAAGGGGAGGAGTTGGTAAAACTGTGCAAGACTTGAGGGGAGGAGCCATTACAACTTTGCAAGACTGGGGGGGAGGAGCCGGTACAACTGTGCAAGACTGGAGGGGAGGAGTTGGTAAAACTGTGCAAGACTGGAGGGAGGAATGGAGGTCAGATTTATACTTTCTCTGAATCTTCATGGACAAGGAATTCCTTTATTAAGTTTATTTAGCTTTTAGAAGAGACCATGGGAGGACTTCACCATTTGACTTTCTAAAGGCCCCAGTATTATATGATGGTCATACCTCATCGCCGGAGCTCCTGAGGGATTCAAGAAGCCAGCATGGTAAGAGGCTTGGCAGCGTGCGCACAAAACTGAAATATCGGCCTGGAGTGGAGATGGTTTTTAAGAATGAATTTCCCGGCCTTAAAGCTTAAGTTCACCTTTTACGAAAAATATGGAAAGGTGAACGCATACAGTACAGCCCCACCTTGTGTGTGATGAGCTGTCCCTCAACACTGGTGCAGCAGTCCAGGTATTTGAAATCCCCACTCTTCTACCTGCGGGGCTTTCAGGACAAATCAGTAAGATTCTCTGGGTTCATGCTGACCAATCAGAATCACCCCGATTTGTCTTGGAAGCCCTACAGAAAGAAGGGGATGTAAGGCGGGGATTTCAAATCCCTGGACTGCTGAACCGGCTGTATGGGGCAACTGACAGTTCATCACTCATGGAGATTTATTACAGGTACTTATATAGTGCCGTCAATTTACGCAGCGCTTTATACACACATATATATATATATTGTACAGTGGGGACCGGGGAGGGGGGGGGCATGGGGAGGGTGTACGATAGGTGTTCGCATTTTCATTTTCTGAAAAGGTAAACTAAACCCTTTAAAGGATGAGCTTCCAGGTTTTCTCCTTCAAACAAGGTCAACACGGTTTGCATTTGTTGCTTACACCAGAGCTAAATATCTGATTATCACTGGAGACATCAACCTGCAGGAGGACGGGGCACCGCTGAAGAGAGAAATGCAAGAGGAGCGTAATGTGAGCGCTCTTCATACTCCTACTAACTTCATAATCCTCTCACAACACGGTGTGTGATGATAAGATATATATATATATATATATATAAAAAATAATATATATATATATATATACACACACATACATATACAACACACACACAGTTGTGCTCCAAGTTTCCCTCCCCTGGCAGAAATTGTGGCACTGATATTGAAAATATGACTGATCTACCGCAAGTGGGAATTTTCTCATATTCCTTAAGTTGGACTTCATGATAAAACCGGTTTCAGGATTACCTACCCAGTAATAGCAAAAGATCAATAAAGCTGCCCTGGAGAGGAACAACAAAGTACATACTAACATGACTGGAACCCATCTACCTAGGACAACTGTGAGTTTCTTCCTCTCCTGGGGACAACCCCTCCTACTCTGGGGCAGCACAGTGGCTAAATGGTTGGCACTTCCACCTGGAAGTACTCGGGTCGTTGGTTCAAATCCCAACCATGGCACTGGTGCCTGGAGTTTGCATGTTCCCCATGTGCAGGTTTCCTCCGGGTACTCCGGTTTCCTCCCGCCTCCAAAGACATGCTGGGAAGTTAAATAGTTCCTGTCTAAATTGGCCCTAGTATGTGTATGTATGAATGTAAGGGACCTTAGATTGTATGCACGTTGAGGGTTAGGGACCTTAGATTGTACGCCCCTTGAGGGTTAGGGACCTTAGATTGTACATGCCCCTTGAGGGTTAGGGACCTTAGATTGTACGCCCCTTGAGGGTTAGGGACCTTAGATTGTACGCCCCTTGAGGGTTAGGGACCTTAGATTGTACACCCCTTGAGGGTTAGGGACCTTAGATTGTACACCCCTTGAGGGTTAGGGACCTTAGATTGTACACCCCCTTGAGGGTTAGGGACCTTAGATTGTACGCCCCTTGAGGGTTAGGGACCTTAGATTGTACGCCCCTTGAGGGTTAGGGACCTTAGATTGTACGCCCCCTTGAGGGTTAGGGACCTTAGATTGTACGCCCCTTGAGGGTTAGGGACCTTAGATTGTACGCTCCTTGAGGGTTAGGGACCTTAGATTGTACGCCCCTTGAGGGTTAGGGACCTTAGATTGTACACTCCTTGAGGGTTAGGGACCTTAGATTGTACACCCCTTGAGGGTTAGGGACCTTAGATTGTACACCCCTTGAGGGTTAGGGACCTTAGATTGTACGCCCCTTGAGGGTTAGGGACCTTAGATTGTACGCCCCTTGAGGGTTAGGGACCTTAGATTGTACGCCCCTTGAGGGTTAGGGACCTTAGATTGTACACCCCCTTGAGGGTTAGGGACCTTAGATTGTACACTCCTTGAGGGTTAGGGACCTTAGATTGTACGCCCCTTGAGGGTTAGGGACCTTAGATTGTACGCCCCTTGAGGGTTAGGGACCTTAGATTGTACGCCCCTTGAGGGTTAGGGACCTTAGATTGTACACCCCTTGAGGGTTAGGGACCTTAGATTGTACACTCCTTGAGGGTTAGGGACCTTAGATTGTACACCCCTTGAGGGTTAGGGACCTTAGATTGTACACCCCTTGAGGGTTAGGGACCTTAGATTGTACACCCCTTGAGGGTTAGGGACCTTAGATTGTACACCCCTTGAGGGTTAGGGACCTTAGATTGTACGCCCCTTGAGGGTTAGGGACCTTAGATTGTACAACTCCTTGAGGGTTAGGGACCTTTACATTGTACACCCCTTGAGGGTTAGGGACCTTAGATTGTACACTCCTTGAGGGTTAGGGACCTTAGATTGTACACCCCTTGAGGGTTAGGGACCCTGAATGTACAAAAAAAAAAAAAAAAAAAATTATATATAAAATATAATAAAAATATATATATATATATATATATATATATAAAGTGCTGCGTAAATTGACGGCACTATATAAGTACTTGAAATACTCCTCCCAAGATAAATAAAAAAAAAGCAAAAAAAAGTTTAGTCGGATATGGTCTGTGACTGATAATGTGCAGATCCTGAAAATAATCGAATTTAAGATGAAGTAAAGAGGCCTGAACATATGTGATAAAGATGCTGGATGCATTATAATCGCCTCCTAAGGCAAACTGGAACAGCACCAGTGAAGGCGCTTCCTCCTCCACTTGCTAGTGCCAATAAAAAAACCACATGAAAGGCGAGCCGGGACAGGAAACCTCTATGACTGACATTTTATAGGAAAGCAAAAAGTATTTTCAGACTCAGAGGATTTTTGCTATATTGAAAAAAGCCCAAACAAAATTAATGATTTTAATACTTCAAAAAAAAAAAAAAAAGAAAAGAAAAGAAAAAAAAAGCCCCATTCAGCAGGGCTTGATGAGCGAGTGATGGATAGAGATGGACTCTATACATCACTCTCAATATTCCTCCCACTGACACCAATGATGGGGTACTATTCCTCCCACTGACACCAATGATGGGGCACTATTCCTCCCACTGACACCAATGATGGGGCGCTATTCCTCCCACTGACACCAATGATGGGGCACTATTCCTCCCACTGACACCAATGATGGGGCACTATTCCTCCACAATGACACCAATGATGGGGCACTATTCCTCCCACTGACACAATGATGGGGCGCTATATTCCTCCACTGACACCAATGATGGGGTGCACTATTCCTCCCCACTGATACAATGATGGGGCGCTATTCCTCCACTGACACCAATGATGGGGCACTATTCCTCCCACTGACACCAATGATGGGGCGCTATTCCTCCCACTGACACCAATGATGGGGTACTATTCCTCCCACTGACACCAATGATGGGGCACTATTCCTCCCACTGACACCAATGATGGGCACTATTCCTCCCACTGACACCAATGATGGGGCACTATTCTCTCCCACTGACACCAATGATGGGGCACTTATTCCTCCCACTGATACCAATGATGGGGCACTATTCCTCCCACTGACACCAATGATGGGGCACTATTCTCCTCCCACTGACACCAATGATGGGGCACTATTCCTCCCACTGACACCAATGATGGGGCACTATTCCTCCCACTGACACCAATGATGGGGCACTATTCCTCCCACTGACACCAATGATGGGGCACTATTCCTCCCACTGACACCAATGATGGGGCGCTATTCCTCCCACTGACAATGATGGGGCACTATTCCTCCACTGACAACCAATGATGGGGCACTATTCCTCCCACTGACACCAATGATGGGGCGCACTATTTCCTCCCACTGACCAATGATGGGGCACTATTCCTCCCACTGATACCAATGATGGGGCACTATTCCTCTCACTGACACCAATGATGGGGCACTATTCCTCCCACTGACACCAATGATGGGGCACTATTCCTCTCACTGACACCAATGATGGGGCACTATTCCTCCCATTGACACCAATGATGGGACACTATTCCTCGCAATGACACCAACAATGGAAATTATTCTTCCCACTAGTACAAATACCTCCTACTGCCTGCATGTATTATGTATTTATTTTTTTGCCCCCTCTTTTCACCAAGCTTGAGGCATTTTCTACTACCACTGGCCACAATCCCCGGCCCTCCTAAAGTCTGAAGGACAGTAAACTGGCCCTTTGCTTACAAAGTTTTCAGACCGCTGGTTTAAACCAAAGCTATGAGCTGGACAAGTACCACAGTGCTGTGAGTGCAGAATTAAAACGGGAGGCGCCGGTGCCAAGGGGTTACAATCCATCAGCCTATCTTTTGCTACTGTAACCCAACGGCCAGCTTGGTCTTCTTCATTTCCTACAAAGCAAAGGGGATTCATCTCTTGGAAAGCAGACACCTGGAAATCTGTTGATCCTGGCAGAAATGCAGGAACTTCCTGTGAGCTGAAAGGACAGCAAAAGAAAACGAATGCAGCCACCATATCGAAGGACCGATAAAGTGCCATTTTTGGGTTTTTTTTTTGGTGTAGGTGCACTTCGAAGGTCCCCCAGACCAGAATTACTTTCACCTTCCATCCAATTTTGAATAAATCTGCTTTGGCCAGCTGAATGGCAGATAACATCATTCTAGATTTCAGATTTAAATCCCGGGAAAAGGAGACGGCGTAAAACCAGAAGCATTCCCCGATTATCCCTCCTGCCAACATCTGCTGAAAAATCTTATTAGGGGGAGCGACAGGCTTTTATGCGCTGACCTGGATAGCGGGCTCGGCTCCTAACAAGCACT